TCTAAAACGGAGCATTTGGAGGCCAAAAACATGAGGCGGCAATGGTTTGTGGCAATCCCTGCAGCCTGGAACAGCTGATTGGAGCTATTCTGGGAGGGTGGTCCACCCACCAATCAGCTGCTTGTGCTGAATCAGGCTGCAATAGTGTGCTGAAGCTGACAGGCTGTTTGCTATTTATTTATTTATTTATTTATTTATTTATTATTTATTTATTTATTTATTTAATGTATTTATATGCTGCCCTTCTCCAGAAGGACTCAGGGTGGCGAACACAAGTTAAAAAACATGTACAACAAAATCCCATTTTAAACCAAATTAAGTAATAAATAATAAAACCCAGAATCAGAGTCAGCCTATTTGCTTGAACAGCCAAGTCTTCAGGTCCCGATGGAAGGAGCTGAGATCAGGAGCCGTCCGGAGCTCAGTAGGCAACGCATTTCAGAGGGTGGGAGCACCCACAGAGAATGCCCTACCCCTGGGCACCGCCAGACGACATTGGCTCGCCGTTGGAACCCTGAGGAGAGCAGCCCTATGTGAGCGAACAGGACGGTGAGAGACAGGCAGGAGAAGATCCTACAAATATCCCGGACCTAAGTCATGTAGGGCCTTATAGGTGAGAACCAGCACCTTGAAGCGGACCCGGAGAACCACTGGTAATCAGTGCAGCTCACACAGGAGAGGTATTATATGGGAGTAACGAGAGGCTCCTGTAACAACCCATGAGGCTGCATTCTGGATCAGCTGGAGTCTCCGGGTGCATCTCAGGGGCAGGCCCATGTAGAGGGAATTGCAGTAATCCAAGCAGGAAGTAACCAGGGCATGAGTGACAGTGCGAAGGTCATCTCAGTCCAGGAAAGGGCACAACTGGCGCACCAGGCGAACCTGTGTGAAGGCCCCCCTGGTGACAGCCATCAGGTGGTCTTCTAGGGACAGCCGAGCATCCAGGAGGACACCCCAGTTGCGAGCCCTATCAACGGGGGCAAGTTTTTCCCCACCCATCAAAAGTGATGGAGTCTCTGAAACCCGAGATGCCAGCATCCACAGCCAGTCTTGGAGGGGTTGAGTCTGAGTCTGTTTCTACCCATCCAGGCCCGCACCACCTCCAGGCAACGGGACATCACATCTCTGGGATGGTCTGGGGTGGAGATGTATAACTGCGTATCATCAGCATATTGATGATATCTCACCCCGAAACCACGAATGATCTCACCCAGCGGCTTCATATAGATGTTAAAGAGCAGGGGGGAGAGAACTGACCTCTGAGGCACCCCACAATTTAGGTGCCTCGGGTGGACCTCTGCCCCCCCCGCCCATACAAACTGCAAGCGACCTGAGAGGTAGGAGGAGAACCATTGTAAAACAGTGCCTCCCACCCCCAACCCCACAAGTCGCTGCAGTAGGATACCATGGTCGATGGTATCAAAAGCCGCTGAGAGGTCAAGTAGGACCAGGATGGAGTAATAACCACCATCCCGAGCCCGCCAGAGATCATTCACCAGAGCGACCAATGCCGTTTCTGTGCTGTGCCCGCGTCGGAAGCCCAATTGGTACGGGTCTAGGTATTCCATTTCCTCCAGGAACTGTGGGAGCTGTTGCGCCACCAGAGTCTCAACAACCTTCACAATGAAGCGAAGGTTGGAGACGGGACGATAGTTATTAAGTGAGTCTGGATCCAGGGAAGACTTTTTGAGGAGAGGTTGAACCACCGCCTCCTTAAGAGAGGCGGGGAAGACCCCCTCCTTCAACGAAATGTTGACAATTGCCTGGATCCAGTCTCTAGTCACCTCCCTGGCAGCCGAAACCAACCAGGAGGGACAAGGATCCAATAAGCAAGTGGAGGAACCAAGTTTACCCATAATCCTGTCCACTTCCTTGACAGAAACAGGGTCAAACTCAACCCAGATATTACTCTCAAGACCTACCCTAGTCTCCCCATTGGATTCTGCCAAGTCAGAGTCCAATCCGATCCGGATCTGACCGATTTTATCATGCAGAAACTGTACAAAATCCTCAGCTCTGCCCTGTAAAGGGTCTTCCCTCGCTCCCTGATTGAGGAGGGAGCGGGTCACACGAAACAGGGCCGCTGCAGATGCAATGAGGGCGGCGAAGTAATCTCACTTCGCTGCTTCTATCGCCACTAGATAAGATCTTAACTGTGTTCGATCAGATTCAGACCGGGAGGACTTCCAACTCTCCTCTAGGCATCTTTTCCGATGTTTCATTTCCCAGAGCTCCATGGAAAACCAAGGAGCGACCCGGGATCTGCGTCGGGTCAGAGGCCGCAAAAGTGCAATTCGGTCCAAGGCGTTGGCAGCCGCCCGTTCCCAGGATGTCACCAGAGCCTCAGCTGAATCGCAGGATTGAGAGGTGGGGAATGTCCCAAGCTCCGTCAAGAACCTCTCTGGGTCCATCAGGCGCCTGGAGCAGAACCATTTTATGGGTCCCGCCTCCCAGCGGCAAGGGTTGGCAGATTGAAAGTCCAGTCTAAGGAGGGAATGGTCGGTCCATGACAGGGGGGCAATGGAAAGTTCCCCCCCTACCACGACCACTTATCTACTGCCCAGAGAGAAAAACCAGGTCGAGTGTGTGTCCTCCCGTATGAGTTGGGCCCTGAATAACCTGAGTCAGGTCCATGGCTGCCATGGAAGCCATGAACTCCTGGACTGTCTCAGATGACTCACCGATCGAAGGCAGATTGAAATCTCCCACAACCAAAAGGTTGGGGAGTTCAAGTGCCACTTCAGTCAAGATCGAGCAATGCGGGCAGGGCTGTGGCAACGTAGCTGGGAGATAGGTATGTGACCAACAAGCCTGACTGAACTCCAGGGTCCCACTTCAATAGAAGAGACTCACACTATTTGCTGCAAGGACACTAGCCAGATGAATACCGATGGATGCTGGTAGGCAGGCAGATTTTTTTTTCTTGTTTTCCTCCCCAAAAACTAATGTGCATCTTATACTCTGGAGCATCTTATACTCCGAAAAATATGGTAACTTCTTCATATTCTATTACTTTCTCTATTTTATGATCCCATCAGCTCTTGCTTGCAAACAAATGATATTTCTTACAGATCTTCCATCTGTCATATCCATTGCTTATAGTCCGTCTGTGCAATCTTCTTCCAGCAGCTTGCCAGGTTATCCACCGTTTCCTCAGCTTTTTTGCATAGGCGTACTTACTGTCTGTTGCTGTCTTCTCAATTCTGGCTTTGTATGCATTTATCCTTAAGGCCAGAATTAGTCCCTCAGTTACTTTCTTCAACTTTCCTGGTCTTAGCCATTGCCAGGTATTGTTATTATCTGCTTTCCCTGCTATTTTTTTTTTTAATATATTGTCCATGTAGTGCTTTGTCTTCCCATGCCTCCATTCTGTTGTTCATTTGGTCTTTCTTATAGACCAGTTTGGTCTCTCCAGTAGTCAGTAAACCTTCCTTCCAATAAATTGTCAGTACATCTTCATCATTGTCCTTCAGCTATTCTTCTAAAGCTATTTCTTTTTCTTCAACCATCTGATGTATTTCCAACATTCCACGCCCATCTATTTGCCTTGGTAGTAGAGTTTGTCAATGTCACTGCGAGGATGGAAGGGTATGATTCATTGTCATTATTTTTCTGTCTTCCTATCCATTGCTTTTAGTTCTGCTTGAGTACCATTATTCCTGCTGTGTATCTAATGACGTGCCCAGGTGTTAATTGCTTTGATGGTATTTCCTCCATTGAATTTGGATTTTAAGATCTTCATTCTCTTGATGTATTTACGATGTATTACTACTATCATTATTATTATTCAGGTTATTCTTTCTCATCCCTTTGGCTAAACATCATATCACTTCTTAGCTATGTATCATTATAATCTTGCTTTAGCATCAATTACTGACCAAACCAAGAAGTTCTTTTAGGATTCATGGGTAATAAGCATACCTAAGGACTATGGGCAATGCTTATGTATGTTTATTTGCTATGAAATGTGAAGGTCAGAGAGAAGCACAAGGCATTTGAAGGAGTCCAAGGCAGTGAATAATATTGCATTGTCAGTCCATTTGCAGTCCATTGTTGCAAAGAACCTTCCAGATGGTCTACACTTAAGCCCCCAAAGTGCAATTGTTTCTGACTGCCTTTTATATTTTAAAACTCATTTTATTCTGACTAAAAGCTTGTTCTTGGGCCAAGTGCCAAGAACATCCTTTTCTGAATATGCCAGGGTTTTTGTAGGTATACTTATTAGGGCATAGCCTAGTACTACGTACAATATTCATTTATACCATTTTGTATAATTTCTTTTACACTGAAATAAATCAAAGTGCAAATAGTTGTGGATAGAGTAACAGGCTACTTTTAATCTATTCATGGGAGGTAAAATATCTGGTACATCTCTATAACTCTTCATTCAATGTCCTGCAATGCAGATACAAATCTCAGGCTTTGTGACCCATTTTAATTTGCCTATCATGCCAACACATTATCTGTAAATACCAACATCCTCCCATCCTGGAGAAATCAACTGGATCTAGTGATTACATCTCCTCTAATCTGCGGGCCTGGTGGCTCAGCAGACTGATAGCATTGTTATTAATACCAGCTGTCTGCAATTACTGTAAATTCGAATCTCACCAGGCTCAAGGTTGACTCAGCCTTCCATCCTTTCTAAGGTAGGTAAATTGAGGACCCAGTTTGTGGGGGCAATAAGCTGACTTTGTATAAATATACAAAAGTATGAAGGCTATTGCTTAACGCATTGTAAGCCGCCCTGAGTCTCCGGAGAAGGGCGGCATATAAATCAATTTTTTTTTAAAAAGTAAGTTTTTATTTCCTATAAGGGGATGTGCAGCAGATTTCACTGCTGTTCTAATCTTCATCTGACTGAATAAATCATTCCGCAAATAATTAAAACAATTGTAATAAGAAAATAAAGTTTACATGAAAATGAATTTACATATACCAAACTATTTTGTGTGTCACATTGGATAGTTCAGTAGATATTTTAAATAAACAATACCAACTACATTTAAAAACTTTATTTAAAAATAAAAGTCAGTGTGTCCTTGAGGCAATTCTAATCCCCTATGAAATTTGTAGAACACAATAAAGAATAGTAGCACATTTAAATGTTTGCAGTGCCCCACAAAACAAACATGGCATGATTATATGTTACATATACAATGACAAAATGTCAGTTCAGTGCAAAGGGATTCAGTAGATTTTTAAACATTTATCAATGATGCCCAGTTGTCATTATCTTACAAAGGAAAGATAAGGAGGAAAAAGGCTGCCTGAGGTAAAATTTAGTCCATGAAATATAGGTAATAAATTAAAATCTACAAAACAGTTCAACAATTCAATCATTCACCATGCAAATAGTATGTGCACTGCTTTCAAAATTGCTATCATGAGATGATTCAATAAATGTTTCATAGTCTGTAATTTTATTAAAATGAATTATTCAATGCAAAAATTGCAACACACTATCAGTTTAGTTTTATATTGCACATTTTCATTCTATAATCAATGTCATTAACATGATGCAATAGAATCTATAATACAAATAATTCTTACCACAAAGACTTTATTTTCTTAGAAGGAATTAAATAATAAAATATGCATATAGAACTTAAATCCTTGATGCTTATTGTCAAAACTGTATGTTACTGTGTTCAATAGTGAAGCAGTCTTCACTGATCGTTTGAGGAAGTAAAACATACAATTCCATAAATGAGATAAAATTTGAGAATAAAAATATAAAATAATATACAGTAATGAAAATTAAAATAATCCAGTATATGTGGGGCTGGCAAACAGACACGTTTTCAAAAAATAATATACTTCATCAACTGTAAAAAAAAAAAAAAAGTTTTGAACCCCAATAAAATATATTTTTTAAAGTTCTGCCAAATCATTTTGGATTAGCAGAAATAAAACCTAGAACAGTTTTATCATTTTGGGTTTCAGCTGAAACAAAATTTGTCGAGATCGCAGATGTTTTTACAGAGCAATAGAATAAGGCTATTACCTGTTGTCCATACTCTTAGTCTGGCACTCATTTTCCCCACAGTTTTTCTTCCCTTCCTCCCTCAGCCAACACCAGTGTTCCAGCATGGCATAATCCATCTGCCTCTTCTCTATTTTGCATGTCCATATTTATAAGAATAATAGGAAACTACAAAATGAATGCAAAGGCAGTCTAATAGCAAAGAAACAGTCCGTCATATTCCCAGTAGATATATTGTACAAAGGGAGAAAGAACAAATTTCAAGATTGTTCCTCAGTTGATTTTTATCAAAACAGCTATCTTGGTTTTTTATTAGTACATCTCCCAAAAAATTGGAATTGGCTGTTACTGCTGGCTCGACAGTGTATATACAAATGTGCAATTACTGCAAGAAATGACCTCCCTTGTTCACTGGCAATTTAAGGTCAGAAAGAAAAGGATACTGCAGTAATTTCAATGAATTTTTCCTTAAGATTTATGAGGCACCTTCTTAAGTCTTTTAAGAAGGCTTTGAAGATATGCTTCTGTTAGCTTAAATTGTACTGTTTATTATCACTTGTGCACATGGTTCTGTTGTATCACACCATTGGTTATTATTGTTGCTGTTTAATTACTATGTTTTATCTTATTTTCACTTCTTGGAAAGATTTTATTAATAAAAATAGTCTACAAATATCTTGGTGTACTGTGTATGTCTGTGTGTGTAATTTTGAAATTAAATGTTGACTTGACTTGACTAAAACCAATATAATATGCATCACTGCCAAGCAGAGAGAACCTGATTAACAAGGCAGGATGGGATGTGACATAAGAAGACTGAGGGTTTTTTTTCAAGCAAAAATACTTAGGATTAGCTGTTATTCAAAGTGCTTTTTTAACTAATTTATTCCTTTATAATACAATTTAATGAACTGATTTAAATGCTATCTCCTTAGCTCAAGGATTATCAGTTTTGTAGAATGTCTGTACTAAAATTGCACATTATACTTTTTGAACTTTTTTATATTAATTCATTAATTTATTATTTGGGTTTTCTGTTCATTATCAGATCACTGTTTTCTCTTCACACATATATGCAGAGAAAGAGCATTATTTGGTGTAAGTTTTATTTACCAGGCCCAGTCTTTCCAACATTGCCACATCTTCTCCTAACGGCGGGCACGGCAGTCATGCCTTGGAGTGACATAGGCTTTCCTCCAATGAGACCGGGTCTGCTGAAAGTTTTAAGTCCCGCCTCTTCCTGTGTAGTTCAGTTTTTCGACTCGGTCTTCTCTGGGACAGTCGTGTCTGTTGTTGTTCCAAACCAATTGGTTTCATTCTGGAAGTTTTTTAATTTAATTTAGTTTTATTTTATTCCTTTTCTTCTTTAGCTATCTAAGGAGTGAGGAAGGCTTTGCCTGCAACCGCTCAGAGCCGCTTGAGCGGCTTAGGACTGCCTGCTGGCAGGTCTCTGGAGCAGCGCCCACGAGCTTGCTCCGTAGCGCTTACTGAGCCCCCCAGGCCACAATTTGGAGTGGGCAGATTGCTGCTTATAGAGCCTTTGCTCTGCAGCGGTTTTGGCGCGAAGAGCTTGCTGCGTCTTTTACGATCGCGCCACACCGGACGGCTAGCGATTTCTGAACTGCCTGAGAAGTCATTAATCGCAAGTATTTGGGGCTTTGTGTTAACTAATTAACACCTGCATTGTGTAGAATTTCGTTCAGGCCTGTAATAAAGGCATTAGATGTCTTTGAATTTACTGCAAGTTGGGGGTTGTAACATTCAAAATGGCTGACACGAGTGCAGCCAAGGCTTACCGCAAGTCTTCCAGGAGGAAAAGACAGCATGAGGCTGACCCAGGCGAGGGTTCCTCCTCTCATTAGCATAAAGCCTCTAAATTAGTTCGCCCATCTGCATCCAAGGGCTCAAAATCCTCCAGGGATGAAGAAAGACGCCATAAGGCGATAGAAAGAGCTATTCAAAAAGCTCAGTCTGAGAATAGTAATGCCCCAGGCCATACTCAGGCTTCAACACCTTCTGTGTCTGCCTCTGCCACAGGGATTCAACCCTCCTACTCTCCAGCCCTCTCATACTCCCTCTCTATCACCGGATAGATCTCTACATGAAAGCTCAGGCATAGCTGATGCATCATCAGTATTTCCTGTTGTTCCTGCAGAACCTAGCCACAACCTTGCTGAGGCTCAAGATACTTCTCAAGCTGAACCAGTTGATACAGCTTCTACCTCGGGGGGGGGGGGTCAATTCCAAAGCAGATCATATAATTTCAGAAATGCCACCTGCTCTCGCTTCTCTTATATCCAATGCCATTCGCCAAGGTATTGCTGAAGGCCTTTACCAACGTGCCCCTTCAGAGGCTTCTGACTTAGGGAGTCATCATAGCCATTCACATAGACCTCAGGTATCCAGAGGTTCTGCAGCTCAACATGAGGTTCATGATTCACCTAATTCTGACAGCCAAGATTCTCTTTCTGAAGGGGAGATCATTCCAGACCAAGAACTATCTGAGGATGAGGGTCTGGAACCGGATCAGCCTTCCTTTGTGGGTCTTTTCAGGCCTCAGATGTTTAGATCATTGTTGTTTAAAGCTCAAACCACCACTCGCCTGGGTGACCCCAGCACTAGGTCTGATCCAACTTCTTTGTCTTCTGATCCTACTACTTCTGTTTTTCTGGAACCCAAACTGCACACAGAGGTCGTTCCAGCACCTAAATTATTCTCAGATGTAATTCAACGGCAATGGTCCTTTCCCAGTACAGGTCCCCTGCCTAACTCGCTGGACAAATGCTTCTATAATTTGGCAACTGATTTTTCTAGTTTATTGCAGGTTCCTGCTGTGGATGCTCCAGTAGTGGCATTATCATCATCATCATCACCTGTGACAGGCCCAGCGGAGGAATCCCTGCGCCCAGAGGATAAAAGGGCAGAGAGGACCCTCATTAAAGGGCATCAGGCCTCTGCTTGGGTGGTACAAGCTTCCTCTGCAGCTTCATTTTTTAACCGCGCAACTATCCTTTGGCTGAAACAAATCCAGGAGAGGATTCCAGCTGCTGATCTTAGATCCCATCAGGACATAAATAAAATTTTAGCAGCAGTAGAATTCTCAGCAGATGCCACCCTTAACGCAGCTAGGTTTTCTGCCAAATCAATTGGTTCTTCTGTTACTTCCAGACGCTTACTCTGGCTCAGAAATTGGCAAGCCGACCAAAGAGCTAAATGGTGTCTGGCTTCCTCTCCGTTCCAAGGAGAAAAGCTGTTTGGGGCCCCTTTGGAACCCCTTCTTATTGAGACTAAAGATCATCAAAAAATTTTGCCTTCTCTTTCCCGAAGGTCTGAGGTTCGTCCACAGAGCTCCTTTCATCCGGGATCCTTTCGTGGCCAAGAATTCAACATCTACCAAGAGTGTTCCCAACGTTCCTTTCAACCAAGAGGGTCTCAACAGCAGGACACTCAGGTTAGACACGGGTACAGGTTCTCTTCCAGGAGACCATTTAGAGGTTCCAGGGGCCGATCCTTTCGGCAAGCCCGAAAGGAGGGGAAGGACCAGTGGTCATGAGAGGGTTAATGACCAGATCACGTCGATCGAGTCAGACAGAAGATAAGCTCCTCCTCCTGCTGCTGCTTCCCAGCTTTCTGACTCGATCTGCTAGTGATCAGACGCACCCTCCATTGCTCCTTTTAGAATCAAATTTAAAAAGAATTTATTATATTTTTAAAAATTGTTAATTGAACACTCTAAATTGAATAATTAGGTTAAAGAAATTTATTGGATTTTGAAGGTGCCTTAGCACAACAGGGCTTCGGCCCCAGCCTGCTGGACCATTGTGGTCAAGGGGATTGAGGCTCCCTAGGGTTGAGCCTCTCCCCTTACAGCGAGAAGGGTTCACGTCCGAACCCGCTGTTGGAGCCTCCCTGCCTTTATCGGCTCCTTATCCCTCCAGCGCTGCGATCTTCAGGCGGCTACTTCGGCAAGGAGGGGGATTCTCCTTGCAAAACGGCTCCTCTCAGCAGTTTCATTAGCCGCCTTCGCAGCCAAGCCGCTTTGCCGCTCATCGCATTACTGGACTCAGCAAAACAGCAAGGAAACTTCCCTGCGGCTTCAGCGTTCCTGGGGAATCCCCCCATACGCTCTCTGAACCAGCGGCGATTTCGGGATCTTCTGGAGGGTAAAGTTGAAGCGTTTTTCGGCTTGGGGCTTGCTGTCTGCCTCGTTTTTACTGGCAGCCGCCATTTTGGATTCTGTTATGGCGGCCGCCATTTTGGTTTCATTTATAGCGGCCGCCATTTTGAAGCGCCCTCGTGGCCTTTAGATGCCTACTAGGCTCCTTTTTGGGCTTGCCCCTCTATTTAATAGTTGGAAGACATTTTTTGGGGACAATTTAAACAGCGGCATTCATTTTTTTTACTCGTAGCATTGGGAGGCGTCTCATCCCCGAGATATGGCTAGTCGCCAGAACAAGGCCTCCAAGCACCTGGCTCCCGACGACATGGGCCCAGGCCCTTCTGCAGGGCCTCACAAAAAATCGAAAACATCTTCCTCCTCTAAGGAGAAGAAAGAGGCAGAGGCCCGGGCCAAGGAGGAACTTCTTCCTCCTTGGCTGCATTTGGCAATAGAGAAATCTATTCAAAAGGCCATCAAAGACGCCTCTATCAGGGAAGTCTCAACTCCCGCTCCTCCTGAGGTTTCCACTCCAGGCATGGCATCTCCTGCCCCCCCCCATAGTCTCTGAGATGGCTCAAGCCCCTAACCAGGATCTACCCCCCCCCATCCCGATGGTGGGACTTATGTATCTCCCCTTCAAGGGGAGGAGACGGAGGCTTTATTTGGGGCGCAATCTGACCCTTCTCCTTCAAGGGACACTGCTGAGGTGCCTCCTGCTCAGGCTCCTGATTTGCAGGCCTCGGATGGGGGGGCTGTTCAGAAGGAGGTTAATATCTCCCCAGAATTAGTTTCCTTTCTTCAATCTGCCATACAAGGAGTTCAAGCTGAGTTGCAACGCCGCACTTCATCATGGGTTTCAGCTTCATGTTCATATGCAGGAAGGCTCTCAGTTAGATGAGGGCCAGGTTCCAACTGGGGTTGTGGGCCCTTCTGTTGTTTTATCTGACCATTTGTCAATTTCTGGGGAGGATGCTAGAGAGGCTGACCTCTCTGATGAGGAGGATTTACCTCCTGACCAACCCTCTTTTGTGGGCCTGTTTAAACCACAATTGTTTCGTTCTCTTTTACATAAGGCTAAATTGACCACCCGGCTGGGTGCATCACAACTTTCTTCTTCCAGAGAAGCTGATCCCTCAGTTCCCCTTTTTGAAGAACCAGTGGTAGAGACGGAGGAAATCCCAGGACCTAAATTGTTCAGGGAGGTATTAAAGAAACAGTGGGCAAGTCCAACCTCGGGGCCTAACCCCAATCAATTGGACAGGCGTATGTATAATCTTGCCCCGGAATTGGCTAACCTGCTCCAAATTCCTACTGTGGACCCTCCAGTAGCTGCTCTGTCCTCTTCTTCCAATCTAGCTGGACCTCCTGAGGATAACCTCCGGCCAGAGGATAAACGCCTTGAACAATCGTTGGTCAAGGCTCATCAGGCTTCGGCCTGGGCAGCCAAATCCTCTCTGGCATCATCATTTTTTAACAGGGCTGCCATCCTGTGGGTAAAGAAATTACAGAATAGACTCCCAGTCTCAGACACTAGATCCCATCAGGATCTTAATAAAATTCTGGCAGCCCTGGAATTTTCTGCGGACGCGACACTTAACTTGTCCCGTTTCACGGCCAAGTCGATTGGTTCCTCTGTGACCTCTCGCTTGTTATGGCTCTGTAATTGGCAGGCGGACGCCAAGTCCAAGTGGCGTTTGGCCACTTCCAAATTTGATGGTCCTTCCCTTTTTGGGGCTCCCTTGGAACCATTGTTAGTTGAGACCAAACACAAACGATGTATCCTTCCCTCTGTGTCTAGACGATCGGAACAGTGGAATTCCTCTACCCCGTTTCGTTCCTTTCGTTCCTTCAATTCCTATTCGGGGGCTCGCTCTTCCAGGTCCTTTCCAGCCCGCTCCCAACCTCCGGACCGTCAAGGCTCCCAGAATCAGAGAGGGCAATCAAGGCATTCCTTCCGGGGTGGCCGGGGGCACCCGTATAACAGGTTCCGTTAACTGCACGTCTGACCGTCCCATTGGGGGCCGCCTGGCTCTCTTTGCCAGCCAATGGGAGTCCTCCTCCTCGGACGCTTGGGTCAGGGAGACAGTCAGGTGGGGCCTCTCCCTTGAATTTCTCTCCATTCCTCCCGACAGGTTTCTCTGGTGCCCTCTTTCTAGGGATCGGCAGAAACGGCTCCTGCTGGCAACAGCCATCCAACATCTTCTAGATATTCAAGCCATTGAACTTGTTCCTCAGGAGCAGCATAGACAGGGTTTTTATTCTCGCCTGTTCGTCGTTCAGAAATCTTCGGGGGGGTAGAGAGCTATTCTCGACCTCAAGTCTTTGAACCGCTGGATTCCCTACCGGCGGTTCAAGATGCAGTCTCTCCAATCTATCTTGGAGGGTGTCAGGAAAGGGGACTTCCTCTTGTCTATCGACTTGACGGAAGCATATTTACATGTCCCTATTCATCCGGCCTACTTTAAATTTTTCAGGTTTTGTCATGCGGGCCACCACTATCAGTACCGTGCCCTTCCATTTGGCCTTTCCTCGGCTCCCCGAGTTTTCACCAAATTAATGGCCGCCATTAATGGCCGAGCTCGGCCGATCCGTATCCAATGTTATTTGGACGACCTGCTCATTCTCTCAAGCTCAGAGGTCCGGGCACGGCGAGATCTGGACTCCACCATCCAGGCCTTGTCGGCTCATGGCTTTTCCATCAATAAAGCCAAGAGTCATCTGGTACCAACCACTCGCATCCAATACCTTGGGGCTGTTATTGATACGGTTGAGAGCAGGGTCTACCTTTCCGAGGAGCGTCTGGCCAGTCTGCGGTCTCTGGTCAGCTCAGGGGTATCCTGTATCTCTGGCGACTCTTTCTCAACTCTTGGGGAAGATGGTCTCATGCATTAGCATCATACCATGGGCCCGTCTCCACTGCAGAGCCCTGCAGTGGTTTCTTCTCCCGTATCAAAAGTCCCGTATTTCGGCTTCTAAAAGAATTGTTCGCCTTGTTCGATTGTGCTTCAGTCTCTCCGATGGTGGTCCTCCCAATCCCTTCTCAAGTGGAGGGAGTTCAGGGAATCCGATCCCATCATTCTGACAACCGACGCCAGTTTACAAGGCTGGGGTGCCCATGTCCAGTCTCATATAGCCCAGGGGTTCTGGTCTTCGGAGGATCGGGTTCACAACATAAACTGGTTAGAGCTCCGGGCCATTCACCTGGCCCTTCGAGTCTTCAAGGACAAGGACAAGGACCATCATGTACTTTTCCGCACAGACAACGTAGCCGCCAAGGCTCATGTAAACCGCCTACGGGGGACCCGATCTCGCCCCCTTATGGAGGAGGCTGAGAGGTTGGGAGCCTGGGCGGAGGACAACTTGAGATCCCTTCGGGCGTCTCACATGTCTGGACTGAACAACACACAAGCAGACTGGTTGAGCCGGTCAACCATGGACCATGGAGAGTGGCAACTGGACCCGGCTCTGTTCCTGCGCATCTAAACCGCCTGGGGAGACCCACTCTCGCCCCCTTTGGAGGAGGCCGAGAGGGTGGGAGTCTGGGCGGAGGACAACTTGAGATCCCTTCGGGTGTCTCACATCTCCGGACTGAACAACACACAAGCAGACTGGTTGAGCCGGTCAACCATGGACCATGGAGAGTGGCAACTGGATCTGGCTCTGTTCCTGCGCATCACTCACCTGTTCGGCTCTCCAGCAGTAGACCTGTTCGCGACAAGCAAGAATCGCCAGACGACCAGGTTCTTCTCCAGGTTCCCAGATCCACAGGCGGAGGCAACAGATGCTCTTCACTGCACGTGGCCAAGCGACCTTCTCTACGCCTACCCTTCCCTTCCCCTCCTACCCAGAGTCATTCGGAAGCTCCTGGAAGAACGGGCGGAGTTGATCCTTATCGCCCCACATTGGCCGCGCCGGCCTTGGTTTGTCGACCTCCAGGCTCTGTCAGTCCGTCCTCCCTGGCGCCTGCCTCCCGACGACGTCATTCTCCACCAGGGAGCTCTTCGTCACCCGGACACCACTTGGCTTCAACTGACCACTTGGCGGTTGAGCGGCAACTTTTAACTGGAACCAACTTGCCCAGACATGTAGTCGATACCATCTTGGCTGCTCGTCATCCAGCCACGATATGGATTTACAGAGCTACTTGGCGTTCCTTCAGCAGATGGTGCACATCGCAAGGGTTGGAACCCCGATCAGCGTCCACCGAACAGGTACTGGTTTTCTCCAGAAAGGGTTGGACGCAGGGCTTGCCCCCAATACCTTACGCAGGCACGTAGCCGCTTTGTCTTCTATCCTTTGTTGAGGTTCTCGGCAGTCTCTCGCCCATCGTCCTTTAATCCAACTTTTCCTGAGGGGAGCCTCTAACCTTAGACCCCAACCTATTCACCGGTTTCCCACGTGGAATCTCTCCAAGGTTTTGGATGCTCTTACTAGAGCACCGTTTGAACCCCTACATACGGTGGGACTTCGGTTCCTTTCGTACAAGGTTTCCTTTTTAATCCCCATTACGTCAGCTAGGCGCATCTCAGAGTTGGCGGCACTATCTACAAGGGATGACCTCTGTGTATTCCCTCCAGATAGGGTAGTTCTCCGTTTAGACCCTACATTTATTCCGAAGATCAACTCTCCCTTCCACAGGTCTCAGGAGTTGATTCTCCCTGATTTTTGTCCTCATCCCTCCCACCCAAGGAACAGGTTTGGCACTCATTGGATGTTCGCTGGGCATTACGCATTTACATACGGCGGACTTCCTCTTTCCGTAGGTCTGAGGCCCTTTTCATTTCCTTTCAGCCTTCCTCCCTGAGCCTTAAGGTTTCCTCACCTACCATAGGCCGGTGGCTGAGGGCAACTATCACCTCAGCTTATGAGACCCTGTCCTTACCGGTCCCCAGGAGGATCACAGCGCACTCCACTCGGGGTGCGGCAACTTCTGCAGCCTGGGCCACCCAGACGTCTCTCCTAGACGTTTGTCGGGCAGCCACCTGGACGTCCCCAACGCCGTTCATCCGCCACTACAAGATAGACCGGTTTGCTTCGGCGGAGGCAGCATTTGGACGTCAAGTGCTACAGCAGGTGTGCGCGGACCAACCAGATTCATCTCAGGTGGATCCCCCCCAATAGTTTTCGGGCTTTGGCAGGTCCCTCTCATGACTACTGGTCCTTTCCCTCCTTAGAAGGGGCTTTGTCTTACCTGAAAGCCCGTTCTGAGGACAGAAGGACCAGTGGTCATTCCCACCTCTTCATCCGCTGGTCTGCGTGTCCGTAGCACTCCTTCCTTTCCTTTTTCTCTCTAGTTTCAGGATGGCGGGTGCGTTGTCAGACATCACATTCCTCGTCCGAAAGCTGGGAAGCAGCAGCAGGAGGAGGAGCTTATCTTCTGTCTGACTCGATTGGCGTGATCTGGTCATTAACCCTCTCATGACCACTGGTCCTTCCGTCCTTAGAACGGACTTTCAGGTAAGACAAAGCCCCTTCTCCTCCAGATTTTATGATAGGCGGCAGATTATCTTTTTTCGCAAATCACTGGGATGCCACCATTTCAGATTCCCGGGTTAAAGACACAATTCGATTCGGCCTAGCTCTTGAATTTCGCTCCAATCCCAATTTTTTTCTGCGCTGTCCTCTGTCTTTGGACAGGACCAAGCGAGCCCGTGTAGATTCAGCTATTGAACATCTTCTCCGCATTAAAGCTATTCAACCTGTCCCGTCAATAATGGGGACAGGGTTTTTATTCCCGTTTGTTCCTAGTGCAGAAATCTTCGGGGGATTGGAGGGCTATTCTAGATCTGAAATCCCTGAACCAGCATGTAATTTACCGCCGGTTCAAAATGCAATCACTACAAACTATTCTGTTAGCTATTAGACCTGGAGACTTCATATCTTCAATTGATTTAACGGAGGCTTATTTACATATCCCTATACTTCCTGCTCATCGCAAATACCTCCGTTTTAGTTATATTGGCCGACACTTCCAATATAGGGCCCTCCCATTTGGACTATCCTCAGCGCCTAGAGTGTTTACAAAAGTTATGGCAGCCCTAATTGCCCATATATCATCTATCCTGGTTAGGATACTTTTTTACCTGGATGATATTCTCATCCTTTCCCAGTCTGAGGCCAAGGCTCACCGGGATATTGCCACTTCCGTCCAGATTTTGAGGGCTCATGGTTTTTCCATTAACTGGAAAAAGAGCCATCTAACCCCTTCTACCCGTCTACAACACCTGGGCTCGGTAGTTGATACCGTTGCCTCAAAGGTTTTTCTGTCTCAGGATCGTCAGGATAGTCTCACTGACCTTGCCCGCCGTTTTAGGCATCAAAAGTCTGCCACCCTCCTAGGTTTGTCCCGCTTATTAGGTAAAATGGTATCCGCATATGGCATAGTACCCTGGTCTCGTCTTCATAGCAGGGAATTGCAGTGGTTGCTTCTCCCTTATCAACGGAACCTCAGCAGCAACTCTCCCTCCTTCTGTCTCTTCCCACGACCGTCGTCGAGTCTCTGAGATGGTGGACTCCCAAAGCAGTTTCCAAGGGCTGCACGTTCCAGGAACCTCACAGAGTAGTCATCACGACGGATGCGAGCCTCATAGGTTGGGAGACGCATCTAGGAACACACATGGATCAAGGCAAGTGGTACACTCTGGAAAGCGATCTCAACATCAACCTATTAGCGCTGCGAGTGGTGTATCTAGCTCTTCTGAGCTTCAAACACCTTGTTCTAGGCAGGGATGTTCTTATTCTCATGGACAACATCACTACCAAAGCACACATCAATAGGCAAGGGGGGACCCATTCAAGGGCTCTCCTACAGGAGACTCTTCGCCTGGGCCTCTGGGCCAAGTCCCATCTAGAGTCTCTTCGGGCAGAACACATTTCGGGGATAGCCAATGTGCAGGCAGACTCTCTCAGCCGCACTACAATCGACCAGGTGGAGTGGAGCCTGCACTCTCTTCTCTTTCAAGAACTGATGAAACGATTTGGCACACCACTAGTGGACCTGTTCGCCTCAGAGCACAATCATCAACTTCCTCGCTTCTTCTCCCGATTTCCCTCTCCGGGAGCGGAAGCGGTGGACGCCTTGCGCAATCCATGGCCCTCGGGGGTTCTTCTCTACACATTTCCACCGTTCCCTCTCATAGCCAGGGTGATCCGGAAGCTCCTTAGGGAGAGGGCAGAGCTCATCCTTCTGGCTCCTCACTGGCCGTGACGTTCATGGTTTATGGACCTGGTGTCACTGTCCGTAGCTCCTCCCTGGCGGATTCCAGATGACCAGATATCACTCCTACAAGGGCGACTTGTTCATCCAGATCCTCAGTCCTTCCAGCTAGCCGCCTGGAGATTGAGCGGTTCCTCTTGACAGAAGCACAGGTTCCTCCGGATGTCATCATTACCATCCAAGCCTCTCGCCGTCAATCTACGACCCGTATCTATGATGCCACATGGAGGGCCTTTTCCAATTGGTGTAGACGGTGCAAGATAGTTCCTACCTCAGTATCGATTGTTCAAATTCTTGGTTTTCTGCAAGAGGGATTCTCATCAGGTCTCTCCCCAAACACCCTACGGAGACAGATATCCGCTATTTCATTCATTCTGTCCTATGCCTCATCAATATCTCTCTAGGGAGCCACTGATCCGCAGCTTCTTACGTGGGGCTACTAACCTCCGTCCTGTGGCCATCCACAGATTCCCAATGTGGGATCTTAACAAGGAGTTGGCGGCTCTCACCAGACCTCCCTTTGAGCTGCTGCGGGAGGTTGACCTCAAATTTCTCTCTTTCAAGGTTTCATTCCTAGTAGCCATAACCTCAGCTCACCGTATTTCGGAGTTGGCAGCCCTGTCGATCTGTAAGGATCTGTGCATTTTTCACACAGACAGAGTAGTCCTTTGTCTTGACCCGGCCTTTGTCCCAAAGATCAACTCAGTTTTCCACAGGTCAAAAGAACTAGTTCTTCCCAACTTCTGCCCTTCCCCTCAGCACCGGCTGGAACGGATATGGCACACTCTGGACGTTCGCAGAGTGCTTAAAATTTACATTGCCCGCACATCTTCCATCCATCGCATTATCCAGAGGCATTATTTGTCTCCTTCCAACCCTCTTCCATGGGTTCCAAGCTGTCCACTACGGCAATCGGCCGTTGGATCAGGGCCACCATTGTTTCGGCTTATTCCGCCCAGTCCTTACCGGTACCTCGGAATATAACGGCCCACTCCACTAGGAGCACGGCCATGTCAGTGGCCTGGTCCACCAGGGCTCCCTTGGAAGAGGTCTGCCGGGCTGCCACCTGGACCTCTCCTACACCATTCATCCGACATTACAGACTGGATGCCTACTCTGCGTCCTTCGGTCGGAGAGTATTGCAAGGAATACACCTGGAGAATATTTCCCGGATCCGGCCTACATCCTCTCCCTATCGGACATTGGCTTTGGTATGTCCCAGGCATGACTGCCGTGCCCACCATTAGGAGAATGGGCGTTGGTCTTACCTGATAAACGCTTTCTATATCAGGCAGGCATGGCAGTCAGCCCCTCCCTGTCTAGGCCGTTCCCGGGCATCAGGGGTGGGTGGCACTTTCATATGTTTTCTTACCTTACAGACACGACAGTCTGCTGATCTACCTCGTCTCAAAACTGAACTACACAGGAAGAGGTGGGACTTAAAACTTTCAGCAGACCCGGTCGCATTGGAGGAGAAGCTATGTCACTCCAAGGCATGACTGCCATGCCCGCCTGATATAGAAAGGGTATATCAGGTAAGACCAACGCCCAATTTGTTTGATGCACATGTGTGTAGAAAATGTTGAGAATCAGAACCTTACGTGATTATACTAATTCTGATTTTAGACAATTTCATCTTTCTTCTGAAATTGATTTTAGACAATTTCATCTTTCTTCTGCTTCCAATCTCCTGCTTACAGTCTTACTTGAGTTTCTGCTCTCCATTTTTTTCTGAAACACCTGAATTGCAACTTGTAACCCAGGAAACAGATTTTCCTTGATCCCAATAATTGTTTTCAAGTTTTTTATTTGCTGCATTCCCTTCTGTCAGATTTAAATGTGAAAGGTTTCCAGATTTGATATATTGCCAACATCTTCCCAGTTGGTAACTTCAGAATTCATACAGCCTCACTAAGTAAACTGAAGTGAGCTATGACAGATCCAGCTAAGGCAATTTCACTGGGCTCAACATAGAGGTTCCTCCAGAAGAAGGGGTATTTGTTTGTATTAGTTGTTTGCTATCTATTTCCATAAGCTTTATGTGGCTAATAATCTTAAAATAAAAGACCACTCCTCCAGATAATTAATATATGTATGTACGTATGTATGTATGTATGTATGTATGTATGTATGTATGTATGTATAAACAAAATTAAAAAATTATTTTTTAAAAAAAGAATCAAGTAATATATCATCACTTGCAAATCTCACTTTCAGTAATAATTACCTCCCTCCCTTGTGTAAGACAGAACAACTTAAACATCTGCCATAGTCCTAAAGACAAGGGGAAAACAGCTGGCCAAAGCTTTACCGAAGGGAGTTCTAAAAGTTGAGAGCAGCTACTGGAAATGTTTCCTTATAAGGCCTTCTCAGGTAGCTATTCTATAGGGATGAAGGAAATTGATCCTATCTGATCTGGTCAGATGGGCAAATTAATACAAGAGAAGGGATTCTGCCTTCTAAATCTAGTACTTAAAATGATCATAGTTTATTTTTCATTCAAGGTATCTAAAGCAATAGTTATGATATAATGGTGAATTATTCCAGGATTCAAGATTTCCCATACATTCCCGATTGCTTGACTCTTCAAAAAACACAAAGAAAAAATGTTGATGTAGGGGGGAAAATGTAGGAAGCATTCAAATGAATATTCTGGTTCTTGGCTTCAGTCTAAGACTCTTAAGATAGGAATTGTAAAGACATTGACATGTTAGGGCCTAATGTTTGGATACGTCATTTAGCCCAACTTCAGGAAAAGCTGTGCTGTTATATCTATAAGCAATCTGACTAAACTTATGGATGGAGTTTATTTATAGCAAGGTGACCTGGTTGCAAACCATCTTGAATGCTTTTAGTATGCTGCCTTTGTTCAGCAGTGCTAAATTCAATTACATCATTCTTTAGTTCTTAAGTTAGTCAATGATTTCTTTGAAACAGCAGTCATTTAATTAAGCAAGCTACATTTGACACAGGAATATTGGCAGTGTAGCATATGTCTAAATGATGTTAAAATTTAAAGCCAGAATTTTCTGGTTAGAAAATTGCAACTAACTATTTTTGAACTAAAATGACAACCAAAAATGTACAAGAAGCTATCTAAGGTTCAAGAAAACAGAGATAGTCTGACATGGTGTCTGACAATCTCTAGGTTAACACTTTTGAATCATACACACAAACAAGTGAATAAATTATATTTTCACTGTTGTGCACTTTCTGTGGCTTCAAGCACTGCTGCAAAAACTCAATTTCAATTGTAAGAACATGAATATCCCTCAGTGAAACAGAGGATGGCTCTTAGCAAAAGAACTTGGAGGACTGTACTATAAGCAGCAAGAAACAGACAAAAGCATAAAATTGTTTTTCCCATAAAAATGAAAAGCAGAGCTTCTAAGAAGTGAATCCATGTATTTTATATATTTAAATAGGCAAATGTAAACAAGAGATCGTCATTCACAGCAATGGGTCATGTATTAAGAAAAATATATATTACTGTATCCTGAGAGATAGTAGCCTAAGACATTTTCCTGCCTTCCTATATCTCATGTATAGAAACTAGCAGCAATTGAATCATGTCTCAACATTGGTGACCAAATAATATTTTCCATTATGCTTAACTAGTTTATAGCTCAAGACAGGCTGCGTGATATATAAACAGTGTCTTCCCAGAGATAGGAAGAGGCAAGATATTCAGCCTGAAGTAGTCCATTATTCTGTCCAACAATTCAAAAGTACTGAATTAGAGTCAGAAAGAGGCTTTATAAAAGAATAATCAGTAGTTTAGAAAAATAGTTTCAAAGTTTTAAAAGAGCAAATTGCTTTTTGTAAATAGAAGAATACAAATATTTCTGAACATGGAGTTAAGTTGTCGGTTTAGAATTTGGAGCAATCTTATGAATTTTTATGAGAGAGAATGGTGATGTCTCGGACAGGGAGGAATTCAGAAATAACTTCATTAATATGAGCTGAAAAAAATAAAGCCAACTCTCAGCTTTGGTATAGAGTTAGAGTAGATGATCTCCAAGGCCCATCCAACCTAATATTCTATGATTTGCACATAACTATAGAATAAATTATATAATTGCACATGATCTGTTTCAATTACTAGATTAAAATTTGTTCAAACATAAATTTTTAATAGGAATTATGAGCTCCTAATATATAGTAAGAGAAAAATAATCAAATGTGATAAAAAACTAGAATCTTAATTTTTTAAAAAGAATTTTACTAATTTGAGACATGGAAAAATAGGATATGGATCTTCTTTATTTTCCCCCCTTTTAAAGTAATCTGAATTCTTTAATTTTCTATGCAAAGTATTCATCTAGTAAGAATCACTGAAGGGAAAGAAAGCATTATATTAAGAACAGATTGTAAGGTTTTATGCCAATTATGAGGTTGATCAGAATTTCATAGGACTAATTAGTTAAATGCAGATAGCTTTAAAACAATGCCTCTTGTATTTACCAGATTACCAGTAATTGTTTACAGGATTCAGTATGATCAACTTAACATTGGCATTGCCTGATACAGTGAAGGGCTATCATTTTTACTGTTAAGTCCAGTTCTACTTTAAAAAATAAAATTGCACATATCATTTATAAACCGTTTTTATAGTGCAAGCATTATTACTATTTACATATTGTACAATACCATTGCACATACTTAAACATGATTTGGAGAGGTTGCTTCATTTTTGCAGCATTTCTTTAAAGTAGTCACATGTTTTTGACTTGTTAAAACAGCTTTGCCTATTTTTCAAGTTTATGTGACGCCTAAAAAAAAGATGTGGATGCTTTAAAGAGAGCTGTGCTTATGCTCATAGCATTTTGAAACAACACATCCAAATTTTCAAAAGATGAAAAACCATACTGGGCAACGCTGTTATCATTAGAGCATCCATACCGTTATAGTCATGAAACACAGTAGAAACACAACTCAACAGAAAATGTGCAAAAGGCTTACAGTGCATGTCTTAAGGTCTCAACCAAGTCAATTTACAAGAAAGTGCTAAAAATAAAACACAGGCCTTAAAACAAAGAACATAATCACACTAGTCTATCTCCCATCTTTTCACTTCGCGGCCAATTCTATTCAAGATGATTATACAAGAGTATTCTTAGATGAAGTCTTGATTCAATACAAACTTCACAGTGATTACGGTGTTACTGTAGGCTGAAACACAGTAATTTGAGAATACTGCACCAATGTTATGCAGATTGGTACGAAAGCAGTATTGCTCAGTATCATAGAGAATGACAGATAGCTGAATAAGGAAGCTAAAGGGAGGGTGGAAAAGAGAAGGGAAAGATAATAACTAGACATAAAAAATGAGACCTAAGAGGTCTCACAGTTTGAGGTAGAAGGGGAACTCACTGCTTTAGTCATTGATTCTTTCTTTTCCTGGGGAAAGCACCATCACAACCATTTCTAGTTAGAAGGCCAGCTGCTTACCTTATATGCACTTTGCTGATTCTAACAGTAGTGGATGAAGAGACATTTACCAATTGTATAGGCAGATGCCATTACCATCTCAGAAGCAATGGTGATGCATATAGGGAGGGTATCCAAGCATCCAACTATCTTAGAGCGGTGTGTTCTTTATTTGTGATAAAAGAGCTACTCCAGATTATTAGGGCATGGAAGAGTAGGGAAGAGAGAAACAATGTAATGGTACATGGGAAAGACCTTGAGAGACCAGGTGAAAAGATGCTGCCTAGGGAATGATCAGATAAGAGAGAGTATTGCCCACAGTAGTATAGTGGGAAGAGCAAAGGAATCTGTTTTAAATTCTTGGACTTTAAAAGTGACAGCAGGATAATTTGCTAGATTCTGTTAATGTGGCTTTACAATAAAATAATTAGTGTATCTGGTTAAATTTCCTATCAAGTCAGCCTGGTAAGGCTAACAGACAGTGGTTGAATGGTTTGGCCTCAATTTACTCTTCCTGGTCCTATGTTTTGAAACTACCGAACAAGATGTCTTGTTACACTAGTTTTGTTTGTTCCTTGATACTAATGTGTATATTTGTGCTCCATTGAGAATGATTCTATCTCCTCCAATGTCTGTAAGAGGATGAACAGTTTTTCTTATCTTTTGCATTTTTGATAAATGAGGTGTTTGGTAGGCTACAAAAATTTTCCTGTAAAATAAAGAAATCCATTTTTGGATTGACAGAAGAACCAAGTGCTTGATTTCATTTGTAGTAGAGATATCATCTTTAAGATCATGAAGCAAAATCATAGTGGATTAACTAATTTGAAAGGCAAAATAAATTCTAAATAGTTAATACCTGTATACTGTATGTCGATTGGATAAAAAGGGATACAAATAACAGAAGATAATTCACATCAGCACAATTCCCACTACAGGAATGTTGATCATCAGGTAACCTGGGAAATTTGTCTAGCATTTTCTAAGACACAGATATCTTAATTTACTATTTAGAAATATACTACAAGGAAAATGCTTTAGATAAGGATAGGACATTGTAAATTTCCATTTAATAAAATGTAATTAATTATTATTTCTTCTATTTTTTTCCATTTGAAACTTATCTAATTAGTATCTTTAATTCAGAATTTGGCTGAAAACTGGGATGCAGAAAAGTTGGTTGGATTAAGGCAAAAAGATGTATACACATCATCCACTTCACATCAGATTCACGTCATTCCTTATGCTATGATTGCTAAGATGAAAGCATTGGCAGGAATTTTCAGTCTTACAAACTTATGCCCAGGTGGGAAAAATAGTCTTCACCTAATCTGTCTGCTTAGATTACAAGATTTGATAGCCTGTTTAGATGTCCAAAATATTTTTTTAAAAAGGAAAGTGTCCATACTTGTGTTTTCATCTTGATATAATTATCTGTTCTATGGCACAGATAATGTAATCCCAATTTTTGCATAAAATTGCAAGAAAAATTACTGCAAAAAACGTGCAAATAATATGGAAACGGCTTTTCATCATAGGAGCTATAAACTTTGCTATGGTGGAGACACATACAAGAATAACAGTCATGAAGGCCAAGACTACGTTTATGCTTTTTCCTAGTAGGACTTTGGCATTAACCGTTTCCGATTGTAACGCTTGCTGTTCTTGCTGGTGGAGCTCCAATTTAGCAACCCGTGTCTGGCAAGATTCCAAAGCTTCCTATTGGAAGAAAACAGGAAGGAAACACAGTGGAACAAAATGTTAAGGAACTTATATACAAAATAGATTTCCATTCCTATCTGATCAGTTCAAGAAGTAATTCAGCCTACTGTATTCTACTGGAAAATGACCTTCAGAATTCCCAGCTCCATTATACCATTGGAGACATAGATATAAATGTTAAAGATTACCCTCATTTTGTGTAAATGATTTAAAATATACCTTGACAATAATAAAAGTTCAAACATTTCTATTCCCTTTGAAGATATAAAAAGTGATGGCTTTTCATTTTTACTTTCTCTGAATATATTGATCATGAAAAGTTGAGTCAACTTTTTAACTCACACTAAATTTTAAAGGAAATTATCATACTTAAGAGAAAAAACATCGTTCTTTAATTATAAGAACAAGGCATCTGACATTTTACATACTCTTCCCAGCTTAATTTGTTAAGGACTTGTGTTTACAAATATTTTTTCAGAGTAATTAATCTTTAAACGTTTAACAACCAATTTATTTTTCTTTACAATTAACTTTTTTTAACTTCCTGAAAATTAATTTTCTGGATGGCAATGTACGGAAGAGCTCTTTGCACTAATATTCTTTACACATAGAAAACAATATTATTTAATTTAAAAAAGTTGATACCTGAACATCACGTGACCGCTCATAAGCCTGATATGCTACTTTTTCTTCAATACTGGCCAGTTCTTGTTTCAAATAGGCTGTTTCATGTTGATGGAGGTCTGTTAAATCATTTAGCTGGTCTTCTAAGTGCTCATATCTTCATACGAATTTCAACAACAAAAAGATTTATTAAAGTTACTTTTGGTGTAGTTCATCTATGTATAACTTAAAATATCATTTGTAGGCTTTTTAAAAATCATAATAACCAGCCTTTTCATGAAGTGAGTATAAGTTGCCTTATATAGAAACTAGATATTTTAGACTTTTTAAAAAATCAAATTGTTGATTGTTTTAATTTATGTAGTCACCCATCTCAAATGCATGACTCTGGGTGTCTTAAAACAATTTAAAACACTACAAAAGAACAAAATACAATCTTAAAAGAAAACCATATAAAACCGTATGACACAATCCACAGCCAAGATATATAAAACAGTAAACACTCAAAACAACCACTGTATAGGCTTTAGGGCACATCTATAATCACCGGCCTGGAGGCAATGTCACATCTTTAAGCTTTACAAAAAGCCAGCGGAGTCGAGACAATATGATCTCCCAGGGGGATGATATGCCAAAGGGTGAGTGTGCTCCATGACAGTAAAGGCTCTCTTCCTGGCTCCTGCCAGATAACATTCTCTAACAGATTGGGACCTGAAGCATATCTCGCCTACCAGTTCTAATGGGATGGGTAGATGTAAGCAGGGAAGGCAGTCCTTCAAATAACCTGGTCCCATGACATGAAGGACTTCATAGATCATCACCAATATCTTGAACTGAAACCAGAAGCATAATGGCAGCCAACCACCGATAGAGCAGCAGTGTACAATTTTAATATAATAACATATAATTGTATACCTGAATCTTTCCTCTTGCACGGTCTGAGAAATAAAGCCATAATCTCTTTTGAACTGTACTTTTAAATTCTGAATATCTTCTGATAATTGGGATTGTGCTTCCTTTATTTCCCTCAGTTCTTCCAAGAATATGGAAAGTTTTCCATGGTTGTCCAAAGTATTTGCCCCACCTTGACCAAAAGATTGGTTTCCATTACTATCTATGGATCCCGATGTTCCACTTGAGCATTCATCATCACTGGTGTATTTTGGCTTGGCTACTATGGTGGCACTACCACCATAAGCCCTAGAAGTAGTTTCTGGTCTGAAGTCATCTAAGCTACTCTTCAAGTGAGCAATGTTGTCAGCACTACCAAACTTATTCCGAATCAGATTTGCAAACTCCCTGGATTTGTTGAAAACAAACACTGGAGGTGTCAACGAAACTCCTGGAACCCCTGTTTTGCAGCTTTCATTGGCCTGGCTGGTAGCACGAGCTTTTCCATGTGCATCTTTTAAAGAGTGTTGGATTTCCTTTAGGCTGTCTTTGGAAGTATCTCTGGTGCTTTTGGAGGAACTGTTCTGTTCTATTTCTTTTAGCTTTCTGTGATATTGTTCCAATTTTTTTTGCAGCTGGGCTATGGAATGGGCAGACTTCTGATTCTTTTTTTCAAAGACTTGTTTAATTCGTCCAGCTTGTTGTTTGTCTGCAGTGTTCACCAGCTTCAAGTACTCGGCCACATTCCCATCTCGAGCTGTTTGTTCTATTTTTATTTGCTCAGTAACTTTCAGAATTTTTTGTTTCAGACTATCTGCACTGAGTTTTACTTTGTGAAATTCAAATATACCATCAGGTACATCAAAATTCAGATTAGTGTCTGAACCTCCACGGCGAATATTAAGTGGCAAACTGAGTGTATTCACATCATGTCTTTCCACCTAAGAAAATATTAAATATAAAAAACAATAAGGATTTTTGTGTGTGTGAAGTATTATATATACAGTTTTAAGTTATTGTAATCAGAAACTATTCAGAAAGTTATCAGAATTTATTATCGTAATTGTCATGGGAAATAAAAAAAATTGCTGCAGAAATACACTGAAAAAACAGTGTTCTGTTCTTTCCATAAGGTTAAACACAATAAATAATAAAACAGAAGTAATAAATAATACAAAGTTATATGATTTTACTTCACAATAATAAATAATTTTAAACCTAATCTATGTTACATTCCTAAATGTATTCACTTTCATTCAGAAGTTAAAATAATATAACTGTTCTGCAGATAAAAGTTCCATGGGTTGTTTTGTTTGTTACACAAATTGTTTATTTTTATTTATGTATTCAATTTCTATAGCCATCCATCCCAAACAATGACTCTGGGTAATTTATAGGCAGTATTTTTTTTTAAATTGTAAAACAGTTAAAAACAGTTAATTTTTTTTCAAACTATATATAATTACTTCTCTGGTCAGTTTCTTGAGTCTCTAAACAAAACAAAAATATTTTTATTGACTCAACCAATCAGGAGTCAATTGTTGTTGTTGTTTTACTTAGTTCTAAATTAGTGGCTATTTTAGTTCAGCTATTTGATCTGTTTCTTTCTTGGTATCTCCAGGATCTACCAGCCCATTACAAATGATTATCATTTTCCAATTTCACAGTAAAAAAGTAGCTGAAATACATTTAGCAAAGCCAGAACAAGCTCTTCTATATGTTAGCATATCAAATTGCACTGAATCTGAAAAGCAGAAATGTGTCTAAGTGCAGTGATGTCCTTAAATGTACAATTTCTTTTTTGATTGTATTATGTTTGTGCATATGTCTTAGCATATTGGAATGACAAGACATAAAACAATTTTAGTAGATTTTGATTTAAAATTATCTCTGTGGTAAATTTTGAATGTATGTAGTCGCTAGTCAGCTATTAAGTGCTAACAACTCTTTGTCAACTGTGCGTCTAATAATAAAATATCACATGATATAGAGACTGGTAGAGATCTGTCTGTCTGTCTGTCTGTCTATCATTTTGAAAACAGGATATTGAATTATTGCCCTATTTCCTCATGCAAGCAAAGTTTAGTTTAATATATTGCAAAAAAAGTATAAAACCACAGAACAAGAAAAAAATGTCAGCTGAACATATAGGCTCCTAAAAAGGTAGATGTCTACATGATCACAAGGTAGATTAAACAGAACAACAGTATAAAATATTTCTTTTTGCGTCATTGGGTACAGAAAGACCTTCTTGTATATCATATCAGGCTGCTAACATATTAAGACTAACATGCCAAAATACTGAATAATTTTCCAGTGGAGTCCTCAAACACTTTGAAGAACTCATTAAAACTGAAATTCACGTTAAATATTTGGAAGAAAATAATAGTGCCAGTCAATTGGAGTGAAGGTAGTAGATAAACTGTTTCTTGGGGTGAAGAGATAAAAGTAGACACTGCATTGGAAAAGTAAGGGAAATGCTTAGATAATATTATGAATGTTAAGGATATTTCAATGTCCCAAAGGTACTTTTTAAAGCGGCAACTACCTTTGGGACAACCATGACCTGGATGACTGAGAATCTCCACAGATATTTCAATGATAACAAAGATCAGAATAGTAAAAGTAAAGATCTTCACAAAAGTAAGGGATGACTAAGAAAATTAAACCTTGAAAAATAATGAAAAAGACAGAAATTGTTGAATTATGGTCTTGGAGATGGTTATTAATCAACCCACTCCAGAGGTTGATTGCTCTCTTAGGCAACGATCAGTAATCGAAACTCAGATGTGATGCGAGCAAATGACAGACTTAAATAATAGCTGTACTTGGGAAGTTTGAAGGAAGTTGAAGAAGATAAGACAATAGATACAATCAACGGATAAGGAGGAAAAATATTGGAATGTCATTGGAAAACATGAATTATTGCTAAGAACAAGTTAAAATTGTAAGCAAGTTAGCAAAAGTAAAATCTGACTCAACGATGTAAATTACTGACCAGTGGGGAATTAATTTTTTTCTGTTAAGGAGTTGGAATAGAAGGATTAACTGTATATTGAACATGAGTACACATTATGTTATAGGACCAATGCTGAGTTTAGTGGTACTTTGATTTGTTTAATTTAGAAAGAAGCAGCTTCAAACTACATCTTAGAGTTAAATGGTGCCTGAAGGGTACTTTGCTTTTTCTGTCCCAGCCACGTTCTACAATATCTCCCCTAAGTTCCAAAATCAATACAAACATTTCTAAATGGCACAAGGTAACTATGTCATTCTCTGTTCCCAAAGCAGCATTTCTTTTTTTAAAAAAAATAGCATTAGAATTCTAATGCATACATTTCCCCATAACATGGATTTAGAGACACATGACACATATGTACCAAATGAAATTACTAGTTTGGCAGTATTCCATTCTTAGTGGTCTAATCAGAGATTAAGATTCAGGACTCTACGCAGTTCAGATAATTAAAACCACAGAAAACAATAAAATACAGATAATAATAAAATAACCTCATAAAAACTAAATTAAAGCCATAAAACATAATCATTGGGAAAGTGCAAATCATGTGTCTATCAATACAACCATCTAGCAGGCTCTGTATTTGCTTTGCTTTGATTTTCTATTTTATTTTACTTACATTCTACTGCTTACAAAAAGAATAAACAAAACATTAAAGGTTTCTTAATGGACAGTAAAATTAAAGCCTTAGTTGGAAGTAGTCACTCATCTAGGCTATTTTACGGTATAATTTATTTTTTCCAGGTGGCTTTGAAATTGCAAGAATTAGATGTACCAATACAACTGGATTATAGAATAGATTTAGCCAGTCTGGATCCAAGTTCATCAACACCCAATTCCTACTGGAACACTATTTTTGTAGCACACTGGAAAACCTGGAAAACGTTCCTTAAATGTTTGGTCTGGACTCTCTTCAGACAGACAGCCATGTTATACAGTCCAAGACAAGCCTTGCAGACTTCCATCCTGCATCATCAATAACCTTGTATGTTGGGGATTCTGAACATCTGGAAAGCATCAGTTTGGGAAGGCTGAACTATTTTATGATTTGGGTGTTGTGCCACTTCAGCCAGCTGTAAACTATTGCATAACATTTGGTTAACGAAACAATGTGTTAACACAATGTGTGAATTCAACCATTATATGTGTTATATTGCAATGATAAACCCAACAGTATGATATACTGTCATAAAATTCAGAAAAATATGAAGAATCATAGATACATACTAGAGTAATAGAACAACTTAGTGCAAAAAATAGCCTTGATTTAAATTTGATTGTATGCATACTCTTCTAAGCTTTTTATCATAAAATGACTGATAGACAAAACTGGGAAACATCTTATGTATGACTCATCTCCTAAAGAAATGGAAACATCTTGAGTTAGTGTAAACTTAGAGTAATATTATGTGCTAAATGATTTATGTTTATACAAAATATAATCAACAGTTGTACCAAGGGCAAGTTGCATAAGCTTCAGATCTGGCTACAATATTATTTTCATGGTGTAAAAATATTTATAAATATTATGCATAATCATATGCAGAGCATACTCTGATTATCTTGCGATTTGAGTAACATGAAATCTCTCTTTTCTACAAAGGGACTTCCAGGTTCCCTATGATGTGCTCATATCAATACAAAAGCCATCTGAGGAAGCAAACAAAGTACATTTTTGTTGGATGAAACAAACATGAAATCAAATTACTTATGTTTGGAGAACAACTTACAGCAAGGGTCCCCAACCCCCAGACCACTGCCCATGGCCTATTCAGAAGAAGGCCATATGAGTGGTGTTCATGCCAGCCTGCCGTTTGTGCAAGTTGAGCTACATATGCGCATGCACTGGCTCACCATTCACGCAACCCAGTTCCCATCTCCCTCACAGCTCAGCTGCCAAGCCACCAAGGTTGGGGACTGCTAGCAGCCTGGCTAGGGGGGGGAGGGTGTTAGAGGAGAACTGGGCCATATGCAAGTGCCCGCCGGCTCACTGCTCACGCAAGTTGAGCTGCCCTCACATGCTCCAGTCAGCCACTTGCACAACCCAATTCTGAATATGCCACGGCCCGGTAAGAGTCCATGGCCCAGGAGTTGGGGATCCCTGACTTATAGAATAAAACCACGAATAATGAACCATCTCATTATTTGCCTGAGTTTTAAAAAGGTAATTTTTAAAAAAACAAGTATGTAAATAAATTAAAAAGATAAAACACATACATATACGTTTTACACAAGAAGTGTTGAAAGCGTGCACACACCCATGAGCAGACCAGTAGCAACGGGTTTTAAAACCCGCCCTGGTTTGAATGATCTGTTTAATATCATAATTTGCTTTAGAAATGTCCAATCAGAAATAACTAAGAGACTATGAAATAGTCCTGAACTCCTGAAACAAAATGAAACTGATTTGCAAAAAAAAAAAAAAAAAGACATTATATTACAATCTATTGAACATACTGTTCAAAAGAAATACTAAAGATACATTTACTCTTAAGAGTCATAAACTTACATTTATTCTAACTTGTTTGGCTGTTTAGCATAATATACTAAAACCAGTTGCAAGCCAGAATTTTTATTAGGAGGGCAAATGTTCAAGCATGTTTGACATTATGCGTCTGATTAATGCTGTTCTTTTAAATGTGGAATGAAGACAAGTGCCAGTTTATTACATTCAGGGTAAAACATTACAACAAGGGCGGGACTTAGCAACTTTGACAGGCTGAGTCTATCAACCTGAACAGACGAGCACACCTATCCTGGCTGCTGTCTCCACCCACAATGGAGAACATTATTTCATTGAGATTAAACTCAATTCACTTAATCAAGATTCAACTATTTCCTCTTCTCCAATGGTTACCTAGTAGCTGCTTAGTGGTATCATATGACATAAAAATAATCTTTCTTAGACAGTAACTTGCATCC